TAGTGGAATCTATGAAATATCGCTACGTTCGATATATGGGAAAATCTGTATATTATATATTTCAGGCTAATCTTGTTAAAGGCGTAAAGTAATCGATTATAAATATCGCACTGGCCGCTCCAGATTAGAGGCAGTTCTCTTACTTCCCGTAGTTTGCATATATCGGTAGTTTTTTTCATTTATTTTTTGCATTTTAAACAAGTTTAAAGATTTAAATAACATTTTATTTACTTACCTTTACTTCAATATAAAGGTTACATTATCAATAATAGTTCTTGCTAGTATCATACATGCGCAATTTATTTTCATATTATATTTCATCATAAAAGCATGACTTTTAAAGTAGGGATATGTGTTAATTATAAATTGTATGAGTATGATGAAGTTATTCTTTTAAAAATATTTTGCATACTTATAAATCTAGTCGATTCCATGTGTGTTGAGTTGTAGAAAATGGAAACTTTAAAAAAAATAGATTTTTAAATTTTAAAATAAGAATTTAACTGGCGCTTACAACAAGTGCACATCTCATCAACTATTATATCGAAAGCGTTTAAGTGGCCTTTTATTGTGTTACTTTACTTTTGCAAAAATGTTTCCTGAATCACAGACAATACAAAAAGTGCGTAGCCTTTATTTAATGCCCCACCTATTTGCACCGATTTTTTTAAAATATTATTTTTTTTCTAAATAGGAATCTATCAGAAAGCTTTAAAAAAAAAATTTAAGAAAATATTTTTGTGAACTAGCATTTTGATTATCCTGTCAATTCTATAAAAAAAATGTGTCGGTACTCGTTTTAGAAAAAAATTTCTTCTCCTAATGTGTTCAATGCAAATTCTGCGGATTTGGTTTTTTAAAAAAATTTTTTTTATAAAATAGGTATATCTAAAAGACAATCTTTAATTTATCTGAGAAAAATTATAGAATTTTGAAATTACAAATACACATTTCAATTAACTGAATGATGGGAAATATATAATCTATTTGAATACGATTTCCCTTAGATAACATCACACATTGATAAATATATAATTTCTTTTGTAAACAACTAATGTCTTCTTAAAATAGTTGTTCCGTTCATATAAGATTTTTTTTTAAACAGTTTTCAAAACCCATAAAAATGTTTAGACCTTTCTAATTAACAGGTTTTATTTTGTTTTTTTGACTCTGGTAAAATTTGAAAATATTTTGAAAAAGTAGTCTAATTAATATAGTTAAGTTCCTTTTTTCCATTTGCGTTCAGCATATAAAATAATGTTTAAAGTGCTTTGTAGTGAAGGAACCCTTCTTCTTCATATTTTGTTTGTGTTTTGAAAATTCATTAATTAATTAAGTAGTTATCCCCACCAAATAGCGTAAATAAAAAGTAAAAGCCATGTTTCTTTTTATTTAAGTAATATACAATTATTTTTATTAATTTTTTTTTCATAATACAAACAGGTCAAGCACTTTTCCGTTTAGACCCCCCCCCTCCCCACCCATCACCATTTTTTTTCCAACCTGAATTGAAAGATGATAATTAAGAAATTATCCTCATCACATCTTCAAACCCCTAAACTATCCGAGGCACACTGCATCATAGGGCTGGCTGGGCGCACACGGTGGTTTATAGGTAAACTGACACCTAAATTTTTTTAAACTAAGTTCCTCCGTTGCTCTTAAATAAAGTGTAGATAGAAACAAAATTTGGATATGTGATAAAATGCATTCTTGTATTTTTAATTTAGCAAAAAATTCTGGGGACTATAAAGATTTAAGGGGCGAGAATAATCTATGGCAAAAGCGTACCCTCAAAGGTGACACAACTAGAAGGGATTAAGTTTACGTCCCGCTGGTGCGGAATTTTAGATGTCTTTATTATTATTATGGCTAAGTTTGGCACTTCCCATCCGAAAGTTTGAAATGCAACCTCAAACTTATGTCTGAAAGAAAAAAACAAATTCCAGTATGAGCTCAATCCACCTCTGCATTTTAAGTTTGTCCGACAGCATTTTTAGCACCCTAAATGTCTGCACCCCCCTTCAATCACGCTGATCAATGGTACAGTATGGGGTTAATTACAAGCTTGTGCCAAATGATTACTCTGAGGCACGCCACAAACGAAGTGAATTCAGCTCATGTATGGCACTGGGCGCCATAATGCCTCCCACAAAACCTTAAAAATGTCTTTCTACGTTTGAAAAGTATAATATAAACATTGAATTCAAGTATACTAAAAAATACACCTCTTGATTTTAAAATAATCAAACATTTTCTGGCTCCCCGAAACCCCTCCACCTATAAAGATTCATCTGCTCCCTCAATTTTTGCTATGAAAATGATCGCCTGTTTTGGTATCGATAGATACACTGCATAGTGGCGAAACTACTATTAGTGCGGCCATGGGCGGGCAAATATTTTTGCCGTCCTGCCTTTCACGATACAAACTCTGCAGTTTCCGAAAAGGCCACACCTGCATACAGAGACTTTCTTAGGTATTGGCAAAGTAGTCGATCCCCTGGAACCCAACTGCCAAGGAGGTTCCGCCGGGCCCTTTATTTTAGCCTACAACATGCTAGTCCATATATTTCAGAAGTACACATTTCTCTAGTGGCGGAATTATCACTATGGTTAGTAGTTACATGCGAGAAAAGAGGAAACAGTAACGAAGGCAAAGTGGAGGTGCCACAGGGGTGGTTGATGTTTTCTGCTCGGCTCCGGGGGAGCTCCGCCCCCGGAGCCCTTTTCCGGGGCCCCCTTTATGCACTCCATGCCCAGGGCCCCCAAAATCCTAAGAACGGATTTGCTGCACTCCATCTGCCCTATTTCGACGACCCTAGCAGGGGCGCATCTACAGTGTTTGGCGTCAGTTCAGGGAACAAGATTGATTATTATGGCCCCCCTCTCAACGCTGAAACTGATTATTTTCCACCATTAAATACCATCAAGGCCCATTAGTCTGGCGCCCCGGGACATACGACCCTATGGCCGCATAGTTTTCCCGCCGAACTCGAGTCCTGAATACATGTATTAGAGCGCTTATAATCCATTTGTTTTCCAATTCTGTTTTTTAATTTCAAAATTCCGTACAATAAATTAGATTCATCCCAAAAGGAGGTGCGGATGGGGCGGTGATTTTTATTCTTTTTGTGGAGGTGTAACATAGTCGACCAAATGCAGAGGTTCTTTTCATGGAAGAGGAGCGGCAAAACTCCCTGACCCTCCCTGGTTACTTCACTGTCAACACCAGCACGAAAATTGTTTTATCGTGAATACTTACTAAATTGGTCGTACTAACTAACCTCAGCTCTATGGGGCAATCACATGCATGCGACCCTAAACGACTACAAGAGATGTTTGGGCCCCGGTGATCAACTTTGATTGCAGTGAGTGAAGATACCCTCCATTTAGGAGACAAGCCACACAATCACACGCATGTCAGTAAGAAATGGAAAATTCAGAAACTTGATTGTGGAGAAGAGATTTTATTCTGTAACAAAGTCAATGATAAAATCTCATCAATTATCAATGATACAATCCGCTTCACTTGTCAGGTGTCAACTTCTGCTTGCAATACACGAAATGCACATACAGCTGAGGGTCATCGTCAGCACAGAGCTTAACAACTTCTGCCCAAAACTAAAAGAGATCGTCAGCACAGAGCTTAACAACTTCTGCCCAAAACTGAAAGAGATCGTCAGCACAGAGCTTAACAACTTCTGCCCAAAACTGAAAGAGATCGTCAGCACAGAGCTAAACAACTTCTGCCCAAAACTGAAAGAGATCGTCAGCACAGAGCTAAACAACTTCTGCCCAAAACTGAAAGAGATCGTCAGCACAGAGCT